AGAAGGAGGGAGGGAAAGAAGGAAAGAAAGAAAGAGAAGCAAGGAAGGAGAGAAGGAACAAAAATAGGGAAGGAAGGAAGGATGGATGTAACCAAAGAGCAAAGAAAGGGAGGAAAGAAACAGGTAGAGATGGAAGAAAGATGAGAGATAGGGAAAGAAAAAGGGGAAAGGAAGGAAAGAGGGAAGGAAGGAGAGAAAGAGAATATTGTTGGACCGCAATGCCTAGTACAGCTAGTCTATATAAATAAAGATGCAATGTTTGTTTGTGGGATTAACAGAACTCAAAAACCACTGAATGAATTGCCACCAAATTTGGCCACAAGACACCTACTAATCCAAGGAGTGACCATCACTCAAAAAATTGATTTTGTCATTTGTGAGTTGTAGTTGCTGGGATTTATAGTTCACCTACAATCAAAGAGCATTCTGAACCCCACCAACGATGGAATTGAACCAGACTTGGCACACAGAACTCCCACGACTAACAGAAAATACTGGAAGGGTTTGGTGGGTGTTGACCTTGCGTTTTGGAGTTGTGGTTCACCAACATCCAGAGAGTACTGTGGACTCAAACAATGATGGATCTAGACCAGACTCTACACGAATACTCAATATGCCCAAATGTGAACACTGGTGGAGTTTGGGGAAAATAGAATCTTGACATTTGGCAGTTGTACTTGCTGGGATTTGTAGTTCACCTACAAACACAGAGCATTCTGAACCCCACCTACGATAGAATTGGGCCAAACCTCCCACACAGAACCCCCATGACCCCTAGAGTGGGCCACAGCAACACGTGGCAGGGGATGGCTAGTACCAAGTAAGATTATAGGTACATTTAACTTAGTATTGTCCAGGTAGACTGAAGAAGTTCCCAAAGATTTAGATATTTTTTTTAATCTGTACTGGAAGATGCTGGCTACTGAACCACGGACCTTTTGCCTCCTGTACTTGTCCTCTTCCAATGCCTTGATTCATCAACCAAAATTGGCGTTTAGCTTTATTTTTAATACTCAAATTATATCGTAAAATGTTTATCTATACCAAAACAAGTAACAAAACCATGTAAGAAAAGGAAAATTATAGTGTGCATCCTCATTAAACACACAGACACTATAATTTGTAGCGCTTGTAAAGAAAGCCTTGTTTGACAGAAACTGAGCATTCTTTTTAAAAGGACATTCAAAAACATTTTTAAAGGTTGAATTTACAATCTGCATGTAATCCAAACTTTAATTATTATAAATAACCTGTTAAAATACTTTTGATACTCTTATTTTGTTTAAAAAAATCCTGTACACTGTTTATGTTTTGATGTTTGTTGTCTCTCGATTTATGACATTTTGTGTAAATAATCATTGGTTTATTAGTGTTGATTAACCCAGATGTAAACATACCTCTATGAGTAAACTTTACACAAAAAGGTGATAGAACTAAAGATTATCTAGATATTTTATTAATGTTAGGAAGAATTTGCCTTTCCCACTGCTTTGTTTTTATAGTTCAAACAGTTTATTCTGTAAGATAGAATGATTTCCTTCTGCATCATTTCTGATGCCCAAATTTCTGTGGCTCATTATTAGCTTATTCTGTTTCTGTGGTGTCAGCTGTCAAACATTGTCACTCCTCGTCTTTTCAGTTTCCTGGGGGTTGAACTGTTAATAGCATCCAGTTGTGGAGTTTCCATAATAAGGATAGTATTACTCAGTGTATACTGCAGCTTATAGAACACCACACCTTAGCAGAGGAGCTTTTTTGAGCAAGCCTCATTACTGTAGGTTGGAAGTGGATGAACAGGTCTGAGAAACAAAGCAGTTGGTCACCAATTTATGTCTCTGTAGTCCTGCTTTAGTGGCAGCTAGGCTTGTGCATTTTGGTTGGACCTCAATCTGTTTCTGTTACCTAAATTCCAGGGGGTGGGTGGGTGGCACGGTTTTGTTTCCGCACACCTCCAAATAGCCGTTTCCGGTCTGTAGCCGAAAAATGCGGCGTAATCCGGCCCGTTGGCGGCAATGGGGGGGGGGGTTACTTCATGGGTTTCCCTCCTGTCATTTTCAGGGCTATTGGGATTAAAATGACCGCACTTAGAGGACACATCTACCACTGCTGGCCCGCCAAGTTTCAGAACGTTTGGATCATCCCCTGATTTTTAGGAATTCTTTATCGTCTTAAAAAATTCCCAAAAAGGTATCCTCCTGGCTCCACCCTGTAACTTCTCCAGGAGCAGCAGTATTCCTTCCTGACAAATGTCAAAGATGCATTTCCACTATAGCCAAATGGTGATGATTGTTATGAATTGAAATTAAGAAGGCAGAGAGATTGCAAAAGATAGGTTTGGTCAAAGGCAGGTAGAACGTTGTCTTTGTTTCTTTGCTGGAACAATCCTTTGGAAGAGTATTATAATAACAACATTCACCTTTTATGGTTTTGATTATTATTACCGTAACTGAAATTAAGAAGGCTGAGAGTCCAGATAGAAATATAAACTTGTTTGCAAAGGAATGCAAATGTATTGGTGGTAAGTTTAGGGAGGGAGGTAGTAGTAGTTTTCTGAGAATGATGTTTGCTGGAATCATTATTATCTATATAAATAAAAATGTAATGTTCATTTGTGGGATTAACATAACTCAAAATCCACTGGACGAATTGACACCAAATTTGGACAGAATTCGCCTAACAACCCAATGAGTGACCATCACTCATAAAAACACTGAAAAACACAACGGAAGGGACTTAAAAGGCCAAAAAAGCAAAAAGATGCTACAGCACATGCGCAAAAACGACTCCCCTGGCAAATAAAACACTCCCTTCCGGACTATAGCTCCTAGCATCCCCTCAACCAGGCCCTTTAGGAGAGGAGGATGATCCAAATGCGCTGCTTACATGATGCAAGCTTTCTTCTCGTTGGATTTCTTTGAGAGCATCCCAATCCCTGCATATTTCCAATTTCCTATTACTGGACTGCAACTCCTAGCAATCCTCCAGATAGATTAGATGGAGATAGAGAGATAGGTAGACAGATATATAGATCCATCAGGAGGACTGCTGGGAGTTGCAGTCCAAGAATTGGTAGAGAAGGAAGAAAGGGGAGAAAGGGGAAGGGAAAGGAAAGGGGTGGAGGGAGAAAAGGAAGAGGAAGAGAAGAAAGGAAGGAAGGAAGGATGGATGGAGAGAAGGAAAGAAAAAAAAGAAGGAAGGAAGGAAGGAAGAAAATCAGGAGGGAAGTAAGGAGAGAGAAAAGGAGAGAAAGAGGAAGGTTGGCCACAGCAACGTTTGGTGGGTACAGCTAGTTATAAATAATAATGATCTTTTTAAAGTGATTTCTGAAGGAGGGGAGGGAGGAGAAAAAAAATATAAGGAGAGAAGGGAAGAAGCTAAAGGGTGACTTAAGGCTCAGAGCCACCCTAAAGAAAAGCACATCCACCCACACAAGAGATGCTTTCTTTTCTCTCCCAATTCCCCAAATGCGTGCACCCACCCGCACTTTCCAACTCTCAGTCCCACTAAATAAAAATAATCAAGAAAATAAAGGAAAATAAAAAGATTCGATTCTAGAAGATAAGACAAGCCGTGCAAGCACCCGGCAGCCTCTCCATGTGCCACATGCTCCCTAGGAGGTGTCTATGAACAACGCAGGCTCTTAGGCTTGGAAATGAAGATGAGCACCTTCCCCAGAGCCAGAGATGAAAGGGAAACCTTTGCCTTTGTCTGTTTTTCTGTGTTTCATTGTTTCAAGGCATTGAATGTTTGTCTGTGTCTGTATATGCTGGAATCCGCCCTGAGTCCCCTCGATGAGATAGGGTAGAATACGAATAAAGTGTTGTCATTGTTGTTGTCATTATTATTATTATTATTATTATTATTATTATTATTATTATTATTTTACTGACACAAAAATGCTGGATTTCGTATATTTTATATTATTATTATTATTATTATTATTATTATTATTATTATTATTATTATTGGAGCCCCCAGTGGTGCCCCGTGCCGGCAGGACTGAAGACCCGACAGGTCGCAGGTTCAAATCCGGGGAGAGGTGGATGAGCTCCCTCTATCAGCTCCAGCTCCTCATGCGGGGACATGAGAGAAGCCTCCCACAAGGATGATAAAAACATCAATTCATCTGGGCGTCCCCTGGGCAACGTCCTTGCAGACGGCCAATTCTCTCACAACAGAAGCGACTTGCAGTTTCTCAAGTCGCTCCTGATACGACAAAAAATATTATTATTATTATTATTATTATTATTATTATTATTATCTTCGATTAGTCAATAGTTGTCTTTTCCATGACAATACTCTCCATTTGAAGAAGAACAAATTCTGGAAATATATGTGGGCTCATCTACACTTAACCACTTAAGATTTTTTTTCCCCTGAGCAACTAGGTTAACTTTTTCTACTCAGTTAATAGAAACATGCCACCCACATGACCTTGGAGGTGTCTACGGACAATGCTGGCTCTTCAACTTAGAAATTGAGATGAGCACCAACCTCCAGAGTTGGACACAACTGGACTTAATGTCAGGGGAAAACCTTTACCTTTTAACGGAAAGGATCTGTGCTACTAGGACAGGAAAGGTCTTCGTAATTTGCAAATTTGCATTCGTATAATTACTGTCTTTATGGAAAAACACCTTAGGATCCAAGTGGGTGGATGACCTCTTTACCTGTCATTCATGCTCCAAGATTAAGCTTGTAGATAAAGTAATTACACATCAGCAGACTAGATCATTCTTGAAAGATAAATGACCAGAAAAAAAACCTGTGACTCTCATCCATGATGTTGTTCCCATCATTTCTCACTTTTGGCCATACTGATGGGGCCTGATTGGTTTTGGAGTTTCATGACATCTGCTAAACACATTTTTGTCTAACAGTTCTTTTAATAGAAATTCACAAGTTGCATTTGTTTCTAATAAAAACATATAATTTGTATGCAGCGCTTATTATACCTTACGTTGCATGGTTTCTCAAGATTTACCTGTTCCTTTTTCTAGGATGCTCTTGTTACGTACAGAGAGATCTTCCTGCAGTATTTAAACAAGATCAGAAATGTTGTGAATGAAAAGAGTGCTGGGACCGAACCATGGCAATTGATAGCAACAACAATGGCCGCTACTCTGTTGCTTGTTTGGCTACACACATTCCTCTTCCAACCAGAAAGTAAGTATCATATATGCCTGATGTAAAGAACCACAGAATGCTTTTGTAATTTTATGATGTGATCTAATGATCTTCTTTGGACATTACTATTTTCTATTGGGGTCATAATACGTACACCTTCATATAACAATTGTTTTTCTAAAGGTGCTCTGGTAACTTTTATATTATAATAAAGAGATATTGAAAAACATACCAAAGACATTTAAGGATTAGAAAGATAAGGAGGTTTAAATGCCCTGAAAAACTTTTGTTTATTTCCAAGTTTATGACGGAGTTTGGAGGTAATTTATGATACAGCAATGAATGTTTGCCGGAGTTTGTAAGCCGCTTTGAGTCCCCTGCGGGGCGAGAAAGGTGGAGTAAACATAAAGTAACTAAATAAATAAATTTACCAGCTGAATGTAGAGTAAAGGTAGCACATTCACCAAATAAAATGTGATATTGGAGTGTTCAAAAAGACGCTATGAGCCTGATATATAGGTTTATTTATTTATCGTGTCAGGACAACCATTCGATTATATTACATTTCTAACAGGACAAAGCAAACAAACAGACAGAATACAAATACCGTGAGTTTGGTAGTTGATTAAATGTCCTTTGACCAGTATCTGGCCACTTGGAGTGCTTCTGGTGTTGCTGCAAGAAGGTCCTCCATTGTGCATGTGGCAGGGCTCAGGTTGCATTGCAGCAGGTGGTCAGTGGTTTGCTCTTTTCCACACTTGCATGTCGAGGATTCCACTTTGCAGCCCCATTTCTGAAGGTTGGCTCTGCATCTTGTGGTGCCAGAGCGCAGTCTGTTCAGCGCCTTCTAAGTCGCCCAGTCCTCTATATGTGCCCAGGGGGGAGTTTCTCATTTGGTATCAGCCATTGGTTGAGGTTCTGGGTTTGAGCCTGCCATTTTTGGACTCTCGCTTGCTGAGGTGTTCCAGTGAGTGCCCAGGGGGGAGTTTCTCATTTGGTATCAGCCATTGGTTGAGGTTCTGGGTTTGAGCCTGCCACTTTTGGACTCTCGCTTGCTGAGGTGTTCCAGTGAGTGTCTCTGTAGATCTTAGAAAACTATTTCTAGATTTAAGTCGTTGACGTGCTGGCTGATACCCAAACAGGGGATGAGCTGGAGATATCTCTGCCTTGGTCCTTTCACTATTGGCTGCTACTTCCCGGCGGATGCCAGGTAGTGCAATACCGGCTAAGCAGTGTAATTTCTCTAGTGGTGTAGGGCGCAGGCACCCCGTGATAATGTGCATGTCTCATTAAGAGCCACATCCGCTGTTTTAGTGTGGTGAGATGTGTTCCACACTGGGCATGCGTACTCAGCAGCAGAGTAGCATAGCGCAAGGGCAGATGTCTTCACTGTGTCTGGTTGTGATCCCCAGGTTGTGCCAGTCAGCTTTCGTATGATGTTGTTTCTAGCGCCCACTTTTTGCTTGATGTTCAGGCACTGCTTCTTGTAGGTCAGAGCACGGTCCAAAGTGACTCCCAGATATTTGGGTGTGTTGCAATGCTCCAGTGGGATCCCTTCCCAGGTAATCTTCAGAGCTCGGGATGCTTGTCTGTTCTTAAGGTGAAAGGCGCATGTCTGTGTCTGGTTGTGATCCCCAGAAGTGACCAGCATATATAGATTGAGTATCCCTTTTATGAAATTCATGGGACCAGAAGTGTTTTGGATTTTGGATCTCTCTCCACCTCCACCACCACATTCTGGCATATTTGCATATATAAAAAGAGATACCTTGGGAGAGGAAACCCAAGTCTGAACATGAAGTTTGTGTATATTTCATATCTAGTTTGTATACATAGTCTGAAGGTAATTTTATATACAATATTTTAATAATTTTGTGCATAAAACCAAAGCAAAGGAGTCACAATTGTAGTCATTTATAGACAATTTTGACATAATTTGGATTTCAGGGTACAGGATAAAGTACTCATGACCTCTCCAGCTGTAGTCTATTACTTGGATGATTCTCAGTACACATGCTGTGTTAAAATGTCCTTATTCACAGTGTGTTTGATTACGTATAATGTTGTACAATTCACATGGAAGAAGGGAGCTTTGTGATTTAAAAGCTAACATTTTAAATACAGGTTTCTTTCATGACACTTTGAGCACTATCTAGTTGTTTATGGGTATCTATATTTCTTACTTTAGCTAAGAAACCCAGTCCTGAATTCCCATGAATTACATTTTTTCTCTTTTATTTTTATTTATATATTTGCAACATTTATATGCCTCCCTTCTCGCCCCGAAGGGGACTCAGAGCGGCTTACAAGATATATATATAGACTAGCTGTCCCCTGCCACACGTTGCTGTGGCCCAGTCTGTTGATCTGGAAAATAAAGTAATGAGAAAGTGTTGGTTTCTAATGTATGTAATTTCTTTATGCTTGTGGGTAAACAGTATTTCTTGCTGTTTCTTTGTCAGTGTTGATGTGGAGAGTGTCTGGTTTGCCCGCCCTGGAAATGCAACATATCATTGTCCTTCTTTAAGGGTCCCTTTCAAATCTATGATACTATATCTGTGTGTGTGTGTGTGTGTGTGTGTGTGTGAATCATATCTATCTATCCATCTATCTGTCTCTCTCGATGGCTGGATGGCTCTTTGTCAGGAGGACTTTGATTATGTTTTCTTGCCCTGATGAAGGGAGTTGGATTGGATGGCCTTAAGTTATTTTTTGTTGGTCGTGGGGGTTCTGTGTGGGAAGTTTGCCCCAATTCTGTCGTTTGTGGGGTTCAGAATGCTCTTTGATTGTATGTGAGTATTCGTGTAGAGTTTGGTCCAGATCGATCATTGTTTGAGTCCACAGTGCTCTCTGGATGTAGGTGAACTACAATTCCAAAACTCAAAGTCAATGCCCACCAAACCCTTCCAGTATTTTCTGTCCGTCATGGGAGTTCTGTGTGCCAAGTCTGGTTCAATTCCATCCTTGGTGGAGTTCAGAATGCTCTTTGATTGTATGTGAACTGTGAATCCCAGTGACTACAAATCTCAAATGTCAAGGTGTATTTCCCCCAAACGACATCTGTGTTCATATTTGGGCGTATTGAGTGCTTGTGCCAAGTTTGGTCCAGATCCATCATTGTTTGAGTCCACAGTTCTCTTTGGATGTAGGTGAACTACAACTCCCAAACTCAAGGTCAATGCCCACCACACCCTTCTAGTATTTTCTGTTGGTCATGGGAGGCCTGTATGCCAAGTTTGGTTCAATTCCATTGTTGATGGAGTTCAGAATGCTCTTTGATTGTAGGTTCTTTTGTTTTTAAGGTACTCATTATGCACAGAGCATTTATATATATATAGATACACACACACACACACTTTTAGTATTAGTATAGTGTATTTTTCTTGTAGCACGTTTCTGAACGTATTCTAAATCCTTTTCTGTGTTTGTATTGTAAATATATACATAAATTGTGGTTATTTTTCTGCTGTTGTGTGGACTCCTATTTCAGGCAGCATTTAATTGCCTTGGAACATTCTTTTCATAGCTCCCATTTCTCAGAGCAATCAAGACAATACATGTGCATGCTACGTATTCATTTTAATGCCTTTTCCATTATGCCCAAGAACATCCATTAGTGCTTCACAGCTAGAAGCCATTAGAATATCATCAAAACATTGCTAACCTTCTGTGTAGTTTTAAAAACTAAGCCTTAAAACAACAACAACATTGGTTTTGCCTGAGACAGTATACTCCCTCCTCCATGTAGGAAGTCCTTACATTTCCTACAGATCTCCATAATTCATATACATATATGCTTGAAATCAGTGTGACTGTACATAGTTTGTATAAAACAAAAAGTTGATCATGCCCTTTATTCAATGATCTCAGGGTGGCTTACATTAAAATAAATTTGAAGCAGTAAGTAATTGCAAACATTTAGAATATTGAAAACATCTATCTATATAAATAAAAATGTAATGTTCGTTTGTGGGATTAACAGAACTCAAAACCCACTGGACGAATTGACACCAAATTGGGACACAAGACACCTAACAAACCAATGTATGTCCTTCACTCAAAAAAAAATTGATTTTGTCATTTGGGAGTTGTAGCTGCTGGGATTTATAGTTCACCTACAATCAAAGAGCATTCTGAACCCCACCAATGATGGAATTGAACCAAACTTGGCACACAGTTCTCCCATGACCAACAGAAAATACTGGAAGGGTTTGGTGGGCAGTGTCCTTTGGTTTTGGAATTGTAGTTCACCTACATCCAGAGATCACTGTGGACTCAAACAATGATGGATCTGGACAAAACTCGGCACAAATACTCAATATGTCCAAATGTGGTAGAGTTTGGAGAAAATAGAATCTTGACATTTGGGATTTGTTGTTGCTGGGATTGATAGTTCACCTACAATCAAAGAGCATTCTGAACCCCACCAATGATAGAATTTTTGAAATAGATGATTTAAAAATAGTTAAAACAAACTAGAGTGATATAACTATAAAAATGTGCAGCCTGAATAGAATCAATTTGGCCCAAAGGATTTAGTAAAAAGTTAGGTTTGAGCTTGGCACCAAAATGGTCCCAGTGTTGTGGCCAATTGGGCCTCCAGAAGGGGAGTTCCACAATAGAGGTGTCACTGCAGAAAAGGTCCTCTTCCATATCCCTCTCAGTGCATTTTCCCTTCTGATGGGACACAGAAAAGAGACTTACTTTCCTGCTGATCTCTTTGTTCTCTTGAATGTTTGAGGGTGCATCTATCTCAATCTGTGGGCTGCAAGAATGAAAATCCGGTCCATGAACCCCCTCCCCCTTTATTTTATTTTATTTTAATTTATTTCCGCTCCTTTCCACAGAACTAACTAGCCACATCCATTTTGGTACTAATGTTGGAGAGTGATCCCTGGTCAAAGTGGTCCCTGTTCAAATGGGTCCTGGTCAAAAAAAGTTTGGGAATCACTGATCTACACTATAGAGTCAATGCAATTTCGCACCTCTTTAGTTTCCATAGCTCTGTGAAATCCCAATATTTATTTTTTTCCAAGATTTTTAGCCTTCTCTACCAAAGAGTGAGAATATTATTTATTGATTTATTTATTTACTAGCCTTCCCTGCCACACGTTGCTGTGGCCCAGTCTGTGTATAGGTGCTTTGTGTATATGTGTATATATGTGTGTTTGTGTATATATGTGGTTTTGCGCATGCGTTGTAATGTAATTTTTGTTTATTGGCTTTTTAAGTCTCTTCTGTTGTGTTTTTCAGTGTTTGTATGAGTGATGGTCACTCATTGGCCTGATAGTTATATTGTGTCCAAATTTGGTGTCAATTTGTCCAGTGGTTTTTGAGTTATGTTAATCCCACAAATGAACATTACATTTTTATTTATATAGATTTATTTACCACATGTATATACCACCCCTCTCAGCCCAGAGGCGACTCGGAGTGGTTCACAATGGGCAATAATTTGATGCCTCAACAATTATAACATTGCTGAGCCTGGAACCTCAGGTTTCAGCAGTGACCAGGGGAGCATTCGCACAGTTAAAACTTGTGCGCCAGCTGCGCCCGTACCTTGGGAAGTCTGACTTGGCCACGGTAGTCCACGCTCTGGTTACATACCGTATAGACTACTGCAACGCTCTCTACGTGGTGTTGCCTCTGAAGACTGCTCGGAAGCTTCAAATGTTCCAACGATCGGCAGCCAGGCTGTTAACAGGAGCGGCACTCAGGCACTCCTCTGTTGCGCCAGCTCCACTGGCTGCCAATTTGCTACCGGGCACAATTCAAAGTGCTGGCTTTAGCCTTTAAAGCCCTAAACGGTTCTGGCCCGACCTACCTATCTGAACGCCTCTCCCTCTATGAACCAGCTAGGACATTAAGATCGTCTGGGGAGGCCCTGCTCTTGATCCCACCAGCCTCACAAGCACGTCTGGCGGGGACGAGAAGCAGGGCCTTCTCAGTGGTGGCCCCTCGGCTGTGGAACGGCCTCCCTGCAGTTATTAGATTGGCTCCCTCCATACTGGCATTCCGAAGGAGAACGAAGACCTCGTTCTTCGAACAAGCATTCAACTAAGCAGTGCAATTGATCGATTATTGGAACAAGGAACAATTGATAATGAGATCAGATTATGATTCTAGTGATGAGACGTGATGGATTAGTTATATTGATGTAATAATGTATTGATGTTGAGGTTAATTAATTGCTATGTACTGTTTTAAAATGTCTAATGATTGTGTATTGTGTATACTGAATTGGTTGTTAACCGCTCTGAGTCGCCTACGGGCTGAGAAGAGCGGTATACAAATGAAGTAAGTAAGTAAATAAATAAATAATAAATATAACAATCATAAAATACTGTTAAAAACATTAGCATACAATATAAGAATATAAAAAATGTACAAAACCTTAAAAACATTATTGTATCTCCATGTAAAGTCATTATTCAATTTTGTTGTCAAGTGGTTCCATGATTTCGTATAACTATGCCGTATTTGGGAAAGCCTGCTCAAAAACAGGTTTTCACCTTTCTTCGAAAAGTCAGGAGGGAGGGGACCAATCTTATATTCCGAGGCAGGGTGTTTCACCTTACCAAACTACAACTCCCATGATTACATAGCATTGAGCTGTGGCAGCTAAAGTGGTGTCAAACTGCATTAGCACTACAGTATAGATACACACACCATAAAGTACTCCAAATGTACATCTACACTGCCATATCAAATCCAGGTTATCTGCTTTTAACTGGATTATATGACAGCGTAAACTAATATAATCCATTTCAAAGCAGATAAATTGGATTATCTGCTTTGATAATATGAGTTAAATGACAGTGTGTCACTCCAAATATGTTTAGAAACAGATTATATAACTTTTCTTTTTAAAAATCTTTCCTAGGTTTGACATCACGATTTAAAAAACGGTTCTTCAGATTTCTACGGAAACTGCCTTTCATTGGTACCGAGGTAAGTTTTTGAACAGAAATCATATTTATTTATATTTACTGCTCTTTATAGCTTCCTATTTTCAAATAGATCATCAGTATCAAAAATGTAAAAATACAGGAACATACCATTTAAAAGGAGCCCCCGGTGGTGCAGTGGGTTAAAGCGCTGAGTTGCTGAGCTTGTTGACTGAAAGTTCGCAGGTTTGAATCTGGGGAGCGGCATTAGCTTCCGCTGTCAGCCCCAGCTTTTGCCAACTTAGCAGTTCGAAAACATGCAAATGTTAGTAGATCAATAGGTACTGCTCTGGCAGGAAGGTAATGGCGTGCCATGCAGTCATGCTGGCCACATGACCTTGGAGGTGTCTATGGACAACGCTGGCTCTTCGGCTTAGAAATGGAGATGAGCACCACACCCCAGAGTCGGACACGACTGGACTTCATGTCAGGGGAAAACATTTACCTACCATTTAAAATATAAGCTTCTGACCAATCTATAATTAATAATAATAATAATAATAATAATAATAATAATAATAATAATAATAATAATCTCCGCCACCATCTCCCCAAGGGGACTCGGAGCGGCTTACATGAGGCCAAGCCTGATAACACATCAATAAAACAAAAAACAATAAGCAAAAACAATACAATTAATATAACTCACATGTAAACAGTAACACACAAGGATTTAAAAACCTATGACTGGACCAAATGTAATAATTTAAAATTAAAAAAATAAATGCTGGGCAGGAACAGAGGAAGGATGTATCTGATAGGAGGGTTTTAAAAGAAATGAAGAGAGAGCAACCCAACGAGTAGTTAAAGTGCTTCTAGAATCATTTCAAAACCAGTACACCATTTATTGATATCCTTCTGGGAAACATCTGAGTCTTTGCAGAAGAAAAGACGCTAAAGTGAGGAACACAAAGGAGAATATTCCTGTCTTTTTTTTTTCTGTTGCTGAATTTCTTCTAGAGAGCTATACGGGAAGAAAGATGCAACGTATTTTAAGTATCTTATAGATTAATTTGAGGAGCCCCCGGTGGCGCAGTGGGTTAAAGCACTGAGCTGCTGAGCTTGTTGATCGAAAGGTCGCAGGTTCGATTCCGGGGAGCAGTGTGAGCTTCCACTGTCAGCCCTAGCTTCTGCCAACCTAGCAGTTCGAAAACATGCAAATGTGAATAGATCAATAGGTACCGCTCTGGTGGGAAGGTAACGGCGCTCCATGCAGTCATGCCGGCCACATGACCTTGGAGGTGTCTACGGACAACGCTGGCTCTTCGGCTTAGAAGTGGAGATGAGCACCACACCCCAGAGTCAGACATGACTGGACTTAATGTCAGGGGACTACCTTTACCTTTATAGATTAATTTATCCTGGATGATTTAGACATAATATGAATTTTGGACAATTTTAAGTGTGCAAGGAAACTGGCCATTTTCTTTGAGGAAGCTCATTTTAATGAGAAAATGCACAAATGGCTATATATCTACAGAAGCAAATACATTCAGGGTGTCTTGATGTATCCTTGTTTAAAAAATTGGGTGGAAGACAACAGAGAAAATACAATTACAATTGAACCTGCAGTAAAGCTTATTTGGCCCTATTTTTACTAGGATACTAGCCGTCCCCTGCCACGCGTTGCTGTAGCCGAGTCTGGTGATCTGGAAAATAAAGTAATGAGAAAGTGTTGGTTTCTAATATATGTAATTTCTTTATGCTTATGGGTAAACAGTATTTCTTGTTGTTTCTTTCTCAGTGTTGACGTGGAGATTGTCTGGTTTTCCTACTCTGGAATATGCAACATATCATTGTCCTTCTTTAGGGGTCCCTTTCAAATCTATGACACTATATATCTCTCTCTGTGTGAATCATATCTATCTATCTATCTATCATCTATCTATCTATCTATCTATCTATCTATCTATCTATCTCTATCTATCTATCTATCTATCTATCTATCTATCTATCTATCTATCTATCTATGTGGCTGGATGGCTCTTTGTCAGGAGGGCTCTGATGACATTTTCTTGCCCTGGTGAAGAGAGTTGGACTGGATGGCCTTAATTATTTTCTATTAGTCATGGGGGCTCTGTGTGGGAAATTTGCCCCAACTCTGTCGTTTGTGGGATTCAGAATTCTCTTTGATTGTAGACAAACTATAAATCCCAGTAACTACAAATCCCAAATTTCAAGGTCTGTTTTCCCCAAACTCCACCTGTGTTCATATTTGGGCATATGGAATATTTGTGCCAAGTTTGGTCCAGATCCATCATTGTTTGAGTCCACAGTGCTCCCTGGATGTAGGTGAACTACAACTCCCAAACTCAAGGTCAATGCCCACCAAACCCTTATAGTGTTTTCTGTTGGTCATGGGAGTCCTGTCTGCCACGTTTGGTTCAATGCCATAATTGGTGTTCAGAATGCTCTTTGATTGTAAGTGAACTATAAATCCCAGCAACTACAACATACATTGGGTTGTTAGATGTATGCCTTCCAAATTTTGTGTCAGTTAGACCACTGGTTTTTGAGTTATGTTAATCCCACAAACAAACGTTACATTTTTATTTATATAGATCTTGTCTAAGTAAGCAGAGATAGAAATGAAACGCCCGACCGTGTGTGCGTGTGTGGTGTGTGTGTGTGTGTGTGTGTGTGTGTGTATATATATATATATATACACACACACACACACACACACACACACACACACACATACATACATACAGACTAGCTGTACCCTGCCACGCTTTGCTGTGGCCTATGGTAAGAATTTTCGAAGTAGAGGTAGATATCTGGACTATTATGAAAGAGAGGTACCTACCTATTCCTTCCCCTCTTTTTCTTCCCCTTCCCCTTTCTCTCCTTTCTTCTTTCTCTACCTCTTTCTTTCATTCCTTATTTCACTCTTTGGTTTCATCCTTCCTCCTCTCTTTCCTTCCTTCCCTCCCCCTTTCTCTACTACTTCCTTTGTCTCATGTTTTCCTTCACTGTTTTCTTGCTTCTTTCACTTTTTATTTCCTTTTCCCTTCCTTCCTTCTTTACCTCTTTCCTGCCTTTCCTTTCCTTTCTACTTTATCTTCTTCCTTCCTTCGGTACCTCTTTCTTTCCTTCCTTTTCTTCTTTCCTTCCCTCCTTCCCTCCCTACTTCTCTTCTGTCTGGTAGAGTCCCTTCTAACTCTATTCTAGGAGTCTATTTAATATAGTAACATATAGTAGTAACATATTATATAGTAATATATATAACAGTAATATATATAATATGATATTTATGTATTATATAGCATTATATATAATAGTAATATATATAGTATTGTAATTATATATATGTATATATGTATATACATAGAGATAGTGAGATAGACAGACAGAATATAGATATATATCACCAACCAGTGATCCTGTATCCATCCATATCTGTGTGTGTGTGTGTGTGTGTGTGTGTGTCTACACTGCCATAGAATCCAGTCCTAAGTAGATAATCTATTGATGGTCACACCTTGTATGGTGAGGAGTTTTGTTGCCAAATTTGGTGGGTATTGGTCCAGCGGTTCTTTTGTTTTTAAGCCACTCATTACGACATGAGCATTTTTATATATATAGATATATACACATACATGTCATCTGTTTGCAATATTTGCAACCAAATCGTGAAACCTTGTTTCTTGTTTTGTCTGTACTGGTAAACCAGGCTACTAGTGTAGAAGTAGTGGATTACTAGCTTCCAGCCCAATGCCAGATATTAAGCCACACTTTGAGGCTAATTTAGTGCCCTGTTTATTTTGAAGCTGGTAACCATATTCCCTGAATCAGATCAAATGGAGGAATTAAGATTAATTAGAGACGTCTTTGTTTGATTGTTTGATCAAAGGGGCTGTGAGCACGGCCAGAGGGGCCTGTTCATATCGAAGCTCACTGAAAGATATGATCATCTATATGCAACAAATGTTGAACAACCTCCCATAATCATTTATTTCCAAATGGAGAATTGCATGAAACAAATTACGAACAAAATGAACCCTTCTTCACAGAGAAAGCTCCCAAAAGCAATTACCATGTAAATTTGCAGTTCAGTGAATCTAAGTTTTTTTAATAGAACTAGGAGCTTTGCCACAGTTCATTTAGCTGCTATCTTCTCAATCAGCCATGAAATATAATTGACTATGTCTTATTGCATTTTTACATTATCGGAGGTGTATCACATCTGAAAATCTCAAATCAAGGCGTGAAACCATGTTTTACCCAAAATAGAGACCTGTGACAACTTTAAGTCTGACAGATACCAGGCTGCTTGGAGTTTTATGGACCGTAGAGCCTACTTCTCCATATGATTGGAATATAGTTTTGCCACTGGCATGGTTTTCCCTCCAGGAAAAAAAAAGGACATCTAAAATATATACAATAACTTCATAGCTGTCAGAACTAAACTTAATATCATGTCTTTAAGGGCAGGAAGTATATAAAACGTTATGATACAGTTATTAAAGTTCATAGTTAAGTATCATAGTTAAGATATATAGTTTACTTGACTGAATGTATTTATTTATTTATTTACCTTACTTATATACCGCTGTTCTCAGCCCGAAGGCGACTCAAGCGGTTCACAACAAATATGAACAGCAAAAATTCAGTGCTACAGTATAGAAACAGTTAACAACCTAACACATTACACATTAATAAACAGTTACTACAATACCCATTCACTGTCGTCTCGTCATCAAAAACATGTTCCAGATTCGTCATCCATTGTTCCATTCCAGTGTTCATTAACCAATCATTGCACTAATTATTCGAACGCCTGCTCAAACAGCCAGGTCTTCACCTTTTTGCGGAATACCATTAGAGATGGTGCTAGTCTAATGTCCGTAGGAAGGGCGTTCCACAGCCGAGGAGCCACCACCGAGAAGGCCCTATCTCTCGTCCCCGCCAGCCGAGCTTGAGAAGCAGGCGGGATCGAGAGCAGGGTCTCCCCGGAAGATCTCAAAGTCCTGGTGGGTTCATAGGCAGAGATGCGGTCGGATAGGTAGCTTGGGCCGGAACCGTTTAGGGCTTTAAAGGCCAACGCCAGCACTTTGAATTGAGCCCGGTAGCAGATCGGCAGCCAGTGGAGTTGGCGCAACAGGGGGGTTGTATGCTCCCTGCGCTCCGCTCCTGTTAAAATCATGGCTGCCGAGCGTTGGACTAATTGGAGCTTCCGAGCCGTCTTCAAAGGCAACCCCATGTAGAGAGCATTGCAGTAGTCTAAACGGGATGTAACCAGAGCGTGGACTACCGTGGCCAAGTCAGACTTCCCAAGGTACGGGCGCAGCTGGCGCACAAGCTTTAACTGTGCAAATGCTCCCCTGGTCACCGCTGAAACCTGGGGTTCCAGGCTCAGCGATGAGTCCAGGGTCACACCCAAGCTGCGAACCTGCGTCTTCAGGGGGAGTGCGGCCCCACCCAACACAGGCTGTAACCCTATGCCCTGTTCAGCCTTGCGACTGACCAGGAGTACCTCTGTCTTGTCTGAATGTATCTCCCGCTATGATCCACTTAGGACCCTAAGATCATCCGAGGAGGCCCTGCTTGTTGTTCCCCCATCATCGCAATCACGTTTGGTAGAGACAAGGGACAGGGCCTTTTCTGTGGTGGCCCCTCGGCTGTGGAACTCCCTCCCAAGTGAAATTAGATCAGCTCCATCCCTCCTGACCTTTTGGAAACAAGTGAAATCCTGGCTATGGGATCAGGCCTTTGCAGACTAGGCTGACTTGCTAGCAAAGCGATGGCTTTAATGGACTTGATGGACTGCTTTTAGGACGATGACTTAGATCAGCGACTGTTTGAATGTTTTTAGACTGTGTGTGTGTGTGTGTGTATATATATATATATATAATTTAAATTGTATATTTATGCTTTTGGTTGTGGGCACCATGGTGTGCCGGTTGTTAGCCACCCTGAGTCCCTCTGTGGAGGTTGAGATAGGATGGGATACAAATGTCCGAAATCTCTCTCCCTCTCTCTCTCTCTCTCTCTCTCTCTATATATATATATATATATATATATAAATGCTCTGTGCATAATGAGTACCTTAAAAACAAAAGAACCAATGAACGAAATCACACCAAATTTGGCAACAAAACGTCTCACAACACAAGGAGTAACCATCACTCAAAAAATTATGATTTTGTCATTTGGGAGTTGTAGTTGCTGGGATTTATTGTTCACCTACAATCAAAGAGCATTCTGAACTCCATCAATGATGGAATTGAACCAAACTTGGCACACAGGACTTGCAAAAAATACTGGAAAGGTTTGGTGGGCACTGACCTTGAGTTTAGGAGTTGTAGTTCACCTACATCCAGAGAGCATTGTGGACTCAAACAATGATGGATCTGGACCAAACTTGGCACAAATATTCCATACGCCCAAATGTGAACACAGATGGAGTTTGGGGGAAATAGACCTTGACATTTGGGTATTGTAATCACTTGGATTCATAGTTCACCTACAATCAAAGAGCATTCTCAACCCACGAACGACAGAATCGGGGCAAACTTCCTACACAGAACCCCCATGACCAACATAAAATGCTTAAGGCCATCCAGTCCAACTCCATTCATCAGGGCAAGAAAACGTAATCAAAGTCCTCCTGGCAAAGAGCCATCCAGCCATAGAGATAGATAGATAGATAGATAGATAGATAGATAGATAGATAGATAGATAGATAGATATGATTCACACAGAGAGAGATATAGTATCATAGATTTGAAAGGGACCCTTAAAGAAGGACAATGATATGTTGCATGTTCCAGGGTGGGCAAACCAGACACTCTCCACATCAACACTAACAAAGAAACAGCAAGAAATACTGTTTACCCACAAGCATAAAGATATTACATATATTAGAAACCAACACTTTCTCATTACTTTATTTCCCACATCAACAGACTGGGCCACAGCAACGCGTGGCAGGGGACAGCTAGTAAATACATAAATAAATGTCTCAGGTTCTTAGTTATGATGCAGTGCTTGAATGATTGGAAAACATATTCTAATCATACTCATTTGATTCTAATCATACATGTTTAGAGAAAAATATTGACCCCATTATTTTTGACTACATCCCAAAGGGTAGCTGTATAGTCCATTGAAGGAAAATCAGTCAAATGTTTTGTGGTGCCTTAAAGATCAATAAAGGCAGATGTTTTATAAATACTTTTCACTTTATCAGATGGAGAGTTTTCTCAGTTTAGCTTGAGTGGATGAGGTTTGTAATGAGAATGAGAATGAAAAAGTACTAATAATCTTAACAGTTTCATTTATTGTTTTTCTATCTCTGTAGATACAGAAACAAATGAGCAAGACTATGGACGATATGGCTTCGGGTTTGTCATTCTTGCAAGACCAAAGGGGTTACATCAAAACCTTGCCAGCAAAAGGCCTGAGTCAACCCGAGGTGTTGAAAATGATGAAAGAATACAATGCTATGGGTATGGCTTGAGTGTACATGTCGCAACCCACAGTACATTAGTACATGTGAACCAGTGTCGTAACTGTTGGATGTGAGAGTGTAGTGGAAATGGAGAGGATGACAAATAAGTAACAGGAAAAGATTGCAAGATGATATATAATTACAACACCTAATTTTTCTGTATTTTTTATATTTTTAACATGTGTGAATGGAAAACATAAAGCAAAAATCAAGTACAAATAATACAGTAACTAACAGAAACTGTACAATTACAACATCTTAACAAACCTCGAATCCAGGGAGCGGGGTGAGCTCCCACTGTTAGCCCCAGCTCCTGCCAACTTATTGATTATTTACTTTTTTTCTTCTCATTTTCTTTTATTCTTATAAAACAATTACACATAACCATAATTACCATGCATTTTGTACTTTTTTTATTCCCTTCTCCCTCCCCACTCCCATCCCTCCCTCTTCCCTGTTGACAATGTAATCCTTTTTTCCCGTTACATGAGCCTTTTTTCGATTCGATCCAATTTTTTCTTCCAGCTTTTGTCTTCTGGTTTAACGACCTGTAACCATCTATTAAATGGAGTACAGATTTCTTTAATTTTCTTCTGTTTGTCTGACCGTGTCTTTTTGCTTCTTATGAAGTTCCTTAATATCCAGTTGTATTTGGTCCCATACATATTCATACCATTTTTCAAGTGTCTATTTCTTGTTTTCTTTCCAACCCCAAGCTATTACTGCATTTATTTATTATTTACGATATTTCCATCCCACCTTTCTCAAGCCCGAAGGCGACTCAAGGCGGCTTACAAATTGGCAACAATTCTATGCCATAGCAATCCACAATATACAATTAAAACAGCATTATAAAACCAATATAAAATCAATACAATACAAAACCATTAAAAACTTAGAAGTTTGAAAACATGCAAATGTGAGTAGATGAATAGATACCACTTCGGCAGGAAGGTAACGGCGTTCCATGCAGTCATGCTGGCAACATGACCTTTTAGGCGTCTACGGACAACGCAGGCTTTTCGGCTTAGAAATGGAGATGAACACCACCTCCCAGAGTCGGACACTACAGACTTAATTCAAGGGGAAACCTTTACCTTTTTATCAAACCATTACCCTCCTTCCTCACACCCATGAACCCACTATTTATGACTTCCAACACTACTAAATGTGAAACTTATACCTATTAAACCCTACCCTTATATCTGTTTAAATAAATTCCCCTTGCGGCTGCTTTAAAGTCGACATTTGTCTTCCCTTCTAAATATCCAAATGCCAGCCTTCATTTTTTAGCAAATTCCTCACTGTTTCCTCCTGGAATACTGTTTTTTAGCTTGGCCAATTGAATATATTTTAATAGTTTTTTCACTCCAGCCCTTTATAAGTAACTCTTTCTCCCCCTTCCAAGATTTTGCTATTGTTTATCTCACTACAACAAAGCTATATTGGCAAATTTCTTCATCTCCTTTGCTGATTCTCCCTCTGAATAATCCCAAAAGGCACATTTCTGGGTTTTTCTTAACCTTTTTTAGTAATTATTTTGTTTGCTTCTTTAACCGCCTTATCCCAAAAATGTTGTACCAATCTACAGGTCCATTGAACATAGAAAAAAAGTACCTTTCTGCATCTTGCGCTTGCAGTAATCCCCTCGATAAGATTTATCTATTTTAGCTCTCATCTCGAGGGTTATGTAGTTTCTGTAAAACATTTTGTACATATTTTTTCTAATGGATCCAGCGATTGAAAATTTAAATCCTCTTTTCTGTAGATGTTTCCAATTCTCCAATATTTTTCATGAAATCATAGCTGTTTTTATTTGGTTATTCTCTAAGTTTTATTCTAAGATATAGTTATATAGTCTGGAAATTAATCCTTTATTACCCTTCGGAATAAGTTTCTCTGAGGCTGATTTTCTTTTGGAGAACCCTACACTAGCGTCTTCCATAAACCAGTTGTGTAATGGATAGTAATAAAATTATAGCATCTTGAGGTCACTTGAATGTCCATGAATGCATATTGTGGATTTCTGGGAAAGTGCTAAGGGCCTCTCTATAAATCCCAATGTTCTCTAACATGGTGCCATGCCAATTAAAGTGGTGCCAAAGTAGAATATTATGTAGTGTGAAAGATACCCAAGTAAATAAATTGTAATACTCTGAGGACAGTTTCAAAGTTAAAGAAATGATAGGTTTAGGAGAGAGAGAGAGAGAAACCTGTTTTTGTAATAATAATATTTTCCGTTTATGTTGGAAAACTGTCCTGGGCAGAGTTGGCCCCATGGTGAAGGCAAACATTTGAATGTAAAATGCTAATTAATAATAATAACAACAACAACAACAATAATAATAATAACAACAACTTTATTCTTGTACCCCACCTCCATCTCCCAGATAGGATTTGGCACGGTTTACATATGGCATAAGGTGCCTAAAACAGACCATAAAATAAACACACAGTACAACACAATAAAGTAAAACATAATCTATATAAATAAAAATGTAATGTTTGTTTGTGGGATTAACATAACTCAAAAACCATTGGACAAATTGACACCAAATTTGGACACCATACACCTATCAGGTCGACAAGTGACCATCTCTCATAAAAAAACTGAAAAACACAGCGGAAGAGACTTAAAAAGCCAAAAAATAAAAAGTACACTGACGCATGCGCAAAACCACACACATATATATGCAAACACACATAATTATATACACTTTATATACAATTTAATTACTTTATGATAATTTTCCAGTCAACATTCTGCTGTATTGTTTTCTCATCAGTGGATTTTTTGGTGTCATTGGAGAGTGATTTCACTACTTGCATGACAGTAATAAATCAGTTGACTACACATGTGTTTTTTTGTGTTTGTCATTGTTTCAGGTGACGTCCATTGGGAAGATGGCAAAGTATCTGGGACAGTGTATAGTGGAGAAGAGAAACTCACCAATCTGCTTGTTAAGGTAATGCGGCACGGTTGTAGCTGCAGTGTACACTTGACCTTAATAATAATAATAACAATAATCATCATCATCTATATAAATAAAAATGTAATGTTTGTTTGTGGGATTAACAGAACTCAAAAACCACTGGACAAACTGACACCAAATTTGGACACAAGACACCTAACAACTCAATATATGTCCTTTACTCAAAAAAATTGATTTCATCATTTGGGAGTTGTAGTTGCTGGGATTTAGAGTTCACCTACAATCAAAGAACATTCTGAATGCCACCAATGATGGAATTGAACCAAACTTGGCACACAGTTCTGCCATGACCAACAGAAAATACTGGAAGAGTTTGGTGGACAGTGTCCTTTGGTTTTGGAGTTGCAGTTCACCTACATCCAGAGATCACTGTGGACTCAAACAACGATGGATCTGGACCAAACTCTACACGAATACTCAATATTCCCAAATGTGAACCCTGGTGGAGTTTGGGGAAAATAGAATCTTGACATTTGGGAGTTGTAGTTGCTGGGATTTATAGTTCACCTACAATCACAGGGCATTCTGAACCCCACCAATGATAAAATTGGGCCAAACCTCCCACACAGAACCCCCATGTGGGCCACAGCAACGCGTGGCAGGGGACGGCTAGTAATAATAATAATAACTTTATTTATACCCCGCCACCATCTCCCCACGGGGACTCGGGGCAGCTTACATGAGGCCAAGACCTTGTTAAATGCAGATGCATAAAATAAAGAACAAAATCTCATAAAAGATGACACTTTGGGAAGGGAATGCAAAGTTTGACAGAAGAAAAAGGCCTTGGTGAAATACCTGATAAGTGAAATACATTTCCACAAGAGGTGGCTGTACATGCTTGGGAAAAGATAAGATAAAATAGTTTTGACTCAGCAAACAGCATGTCATAGAGGAAGGCACACACGGATTACGACTTCCTGAGGATTTACAGCAGCGCAGGCTGGTCATCATGAGGCTGCACTGCTATTAGGCTGTTCAGAGAGAACTATGCTAATTGGTTTCAATTGTACACTGCCGCAAACCTGCTGTGCTAGCCTCCTAAGGTTATGTAAGGGGCTCAACTATTTTGACATCGTACAGTATCCTGTTTGTTGATGGTGACATCCTGCCTATCCTTCCATTTTATGCTCTATATTGTAGTTTAGCTGAAAGATAGTGGCCACCTTGTGAGCTTGGTGATTGTATGACAATTCAAAGCCACATTGCTCCAATCTTAGTGGTTAACACCACCGCACTGGTCCCCAAATGTATAGGTTTTGAATGGGACAAAAGGTTTTGAATGGGGATTCCTGTTCAGGGTGGAAACCTGATGGAGCAACTTTCAGCTCGTTCTTACTTATGGAGAGTACATAGCAGTTGACTTCTCCTGAAGCCAGATGTATTTTTTTGTTATTCAGAGAGATGATACGATGTGCTTGTCAATTGAAGAAATACAGTTGGCCCTCCACATTTGCACGTTTGACTTTTGCAGATTTGCTTATTCAGATTTGATTGTTATGTTCTCTCTAGGAATCTCTAGGTCCTCAAACTCGATTGTATGGTCAATTTCTTGCAAGACCCATACATTCTTAGAGAAATGTTCTTTCAAGTAAAAAAAATGGTGTTTTTTTTAATTCACATTTTTTTACACTTTTGCACCCTTTACCCCAGCGAATGTTGAAGGCCCACAATAATGCTAAACATTGTCTTAGAAATATGGAAGTCGGCTGTCTCGATAGCCTGTTCATAAATCAATAGTGTCTAGATTCTCATGACTGGAAATTATTTTATTTACGACATTATACGCCGCCCTTCTCACCCCGAAGGGGACTCAGAGTGGCTTACAAGATATATATACATACAATAATATTATTAGCATAGTACAATATCAGTATTAAATATTACTATATTGTACTATACCATTATATTGTAAATTATTAGTAATATTACATGATATATATATATATATATATATATATATATATATATATATATATATATAAATAATACACACACATACATACATACATACATACATACACATACACATACGGGGTGGCACAGTGGGTTAAAGCACTGAGCCGCTGAGCTTGTTGACCGAAAGGTCGCAGGTTTGATTCCGGGGAGCGACGTAAGCTTCCGCTGTCAGCCCTATCTTCTGCTAACATAGCAGTTAGAAAACATGCAAATGTGAGTAGATCAGTAGATACCATTCCGGCGGGAAGGTAACGGCGCTCCATGCAGTCATGCTGGCCACATGACCTTGGAGGTGTCTACGGACAACGCCGGCTCTTCGGCTTAGAAATGGAGATGAGCACTGCACCCCAGAGTCAGACATGACTGGACTTAATGTCAGGGGACAACCTTTACCTTTTATAAATATATAATTTATATATTTATATATGGGACCCCCTCCTCCCAGCACCAACTGCTGCTCTGGGCCAAAGTGAAGAGACAGGGGGACAGGGGACAGTTCCATCTTGTCTCCTGCATATGTCATCAGTTGGGGACCCCTTGCCCCGCACCAACTGCCGCTCTGGACTAGAGTGAAGGGGCGGGGGCAGGGGACAGTTCCACCTTGTTTCCTGTGCTATGCTAATAATATAATATAATATAATATAATATAATATAATATAATATAATATATTGTATATACATATAATATTTATAATATTATAGTGTAATGCAATATAATACTACTACTAATAATATATTATAATTATATATTTATATTACATGTAATATTACAAATAATATTACAATATAATGGTATAGTACAATATAGTAATATTTAATATTGATATTGCACTATACTAATAATATAATATATTATATGTATATATTTTTTGTAATCCGTTCTGAGTCCCCTTCGGGATGAGAAGGGCGGCATATAAAAGTGGTAAATAAATAAATAATATCATATTATGGGTTGTTGTAGGTTTTTTTCGGGCTATATGGCCATGGTCTAGAGCAGGCCCGTAGCCAGGATTTCGTTTCGGGGGGGCTAAAAAATTTTCAGGGGGGGTTTCGGGGGGGGGCTGAGTTTCGGGGGGGGGGCTGAGTCTGAGTGAAAGAGGGTCTAGCCTAGCAAACCTTTTGTATCATTACCCCAATACCCCCATGCATATGGGATATATTGAGTATGGTGATCAGATCATGATATGAATAAACATAACAGTTTAAATAATGCACCAGTAAGGCCTTTTCGCGAACCACCATGAGAATTTCGGGGGGGGGGGGGCTGAAGCCCCCCGAGCCCCCCCCCCCTGGCTACATGCCTGGTCTAGAGGCATTCTCTCCTGACGTTTTGCCTGCATCTATGGCAAGCATCCTCGGAGGTAGTGAAGTCAGAGGTGACCTCACTACCTCTGGGGATGCTTGCCATAGATGCAGGCGAAACATCAGGAGAAAAATGCCTCTAGACCATGGCCATATAGCCCGAAGAAACCTATAACAACCCAGTAATTCTGGCCATGAAAGCCTTCAACAATACAATATCATATTATTATTAGTATTATATTGCATTAATTATAAATCCCCGTTTTATTTCAGCCTTTGAATTTTGTTTCTGCTTATCCCCTCATGGCTGCACATAGACAAATGCATGTAGATTTCTTTCTTGTAACAGATGATAATTTCAAAACTCTGTCTCTTAACTAGGAGTCAAATGACAGTTTCATCATATGCAGGGGAACTGAGAGCAACAAGTTGCATAATCAATTAAAAGTGCCATAATTTGTTTCACAATTGAACAGCATTGACAAGATTGTGCAAGCAAACTTTGGCATTGGCTCTACTTCTTGCAATAGTATTATTACTAGTAGTTTTTATTATTTATACCCCATTTTTATCTCTTAATCGAGACACAAAGCGGCTCACAGCATCAAAACACAATAGTGGACAATAGTAGGACTCATTCTCTTAAATAGTTTTTTTTTAAAAAAAGCTAAGGTACATAATTTAACATTGCTTGTTGGTTTTATATTGTTTTAATGTTTAATTTGTACCATGATATTATTTATACTGTTTGTTGGAAACCGCCTTGAGTCACTGATAGGCTGAGAAAGGCGGTATACAAATACAGTAAATAAATAAATGGATAGATAGATAAATTGCAGCCCTAATTCAATGGTGAACCAATTGTAGGTTGGAAATGGGCAGAAGTCTCTATACTTGGCAAGACCTTCTTCTGATTGCTTCTCTCTGAAGCTTGTTGACAGAGCAAGTTGTTCGTACAGCTGTCAAAGGGGCAAAAAAGGCAACGGAAAGGAAGTTATGCCACGTGTAAACCTCCACAGTGACACATTTAGGTACAAGGCAGTCCTAATGTTACAACAACGTTCTGCAGGCTTGTTCTTAAGTTGAATTTGTGTGTATTTTAGAACAGGCACATTTTAAGTGTAACTCCAGTCTCATTCATATATCTATATAAATAAAAATATAATGTTCGTTTGTGGAATTAACATAACTCAAAAACCACTGGATGTATTGGCACCAAATTTGGACACAATACACCTACTACCCCAAGGAGTGACTTTACCCCTACTCGGCTGAAAGTGGAGAAGATGACCATCAAAACTTTAAATTTCATGTCTGTTTTCCGTTTCTTAGTACACCTGAGTTCAAAATAAATTGTGTGTGTGTTGTCTAGATATTTACTCTGCAATACATTTGGGTGACAATTTTTTACTTGTAGCTCTGGAAGCCAGTTTGGGGAGAAGAAGGCAGTGACAGTGCGATGAAGTAGCAGCTCTAAACTTTTTCTTACATTTCTTTATTCCTCAGTGAGGGAACAGATGTGTGATCTAGCCAAGCTGGTAAAATATTTCTTATTTCTAGGTGCCTGGGAGCTTTCCCTGTCCTGTCTCATAATGTGGCATAAGTGCCTCCTATAAAACCTCCTTAAGCCCTATGGAGAAAAGGCTTTAGATTGAGAAGCTGGTGAGCTGGCATGTGGTTCTTCTTTGTTTTCTTCACCAGCCCTTTTCATCTCCATATTCTTTTTTTCCTTGCTGCCATCTCATTACCAGGAAGAAGTGGAATGCCTTTCCTGACATGTATATTTTAAAACAGGAGTAGTTTGATTCATTTTTTCTCTTTCTCCCAGCACCTTCATTTACAGTGCAAATCCGTACCTCGTCCTATGTTTTCGCATGTTCTTTTCAAAACTAAATTTTACTTGAAACTTTTGCATGGATCACTGTGCACATAAGCCACATTCCTACGTTTTGTTGAAAATTGCTGTCCCCAAACACTCAAATTCAGTGTTTTTTTATATGAAATCCATTTCACAAATCAAAATGTAGATTCAATTGATATCTATGTATAATATAATATTGAGGTATATTTAACAACTGTCGCAGTTTCACTTTATAGAACGTGGAGTGTGTATTAAGATATATAATTTAGAGGTGTAAATACAGAGACAAGAGATGATATTTTATTATTTATTTATTTATTTACGACATTTATCTGCCGCCCTTCTCACCCCGAAGGGGACTCAGAGCGGCTTACAAGATATACGAGGGGTATTTTTTAAGTAAGGTCCGTTTGAACGTAAGTACACAACGAAAGTTTATTTCAAAAAAATAAATTTATTTTCAGAAAGTACATACTTCACTCTATTTTTCGACATAGTTGCCAAGTTTGTTCAAACACTTATCATACCTCTGAACCAATTTTAAAATACCCTCTTCACGAATCCTCGCTTCAACTGAAGCCACCAAATCGTCTGTAATCAAAGAAGGGCAACCGGAGCAGTACTCATCATGGACGTTGTCACGGCCATCTTTGAATTGTCGTATCCACTTACACACTTTGCTTTCACTCATAACAGTATCACCGTACACTTCACAAATCTGTCGATGAATTTCTGCAGCAGGCAGGTTCCTTGCTGACAAAAACCGTATCACTGAGCGAACCTCACATGCGGAGGGTGAGTTGATAGTCTTAAACATTTTTAAAGCACAGAACAGAACCGTACAGGTTAGCTACAGAGCGGAAACTGAACACAGTTGTTCCCGAGGCATTCCGGTACACGACACACACGCTCGTTGCGGTATGCGCGCGAACTACTAGTGTCGACAACAAAACGGACCTTACTAAAAAAATACCCCTCGTATATACATACAGTATATTATATTATTAACATAGTACAATATCAATATTATATATTTTACTATACCATTATATTGTAATATTATTAGTAATATTATAGGCAGTAAGCTTTAGGTCATGAACTGTCCTTTTAAAAGACTGTACTTTGGACTCTTCTGACTGAAAAATGAGATATAAGTGCTATCAATGATTTTTTTTTATGTCAGGAGCGACATGAGAAACTGTAAGTCGCTTCTGGTGTGAGAGAATTGGCCATCTGCAAGGACGTTGCCCAGGGGAACGCCAGGATATTTGATGTTTTGGTGTGAGGGAATTGGCCATCTGCAAGGACGTTGCCCAGGGGGACGCCAGGATATTTTGATGTTTTACCATCCTTGTGGGAAGCTTCTCTCGTGTCTCTGCATGGGGAGCTGGAGCTGACAGAGGGAGCTCATCCACGCTCTCCCTGGATTCAAACCTGTGACGTGTTGGTCTTCAGTCCTGCTGGGACAAGGGTTTAGCCCACTGTGCTATTGGGGACTCCTATCAATGAAACCAAAAGATAGATTCTCCACAAATCTCCCTAAAGTCCATTTAAATTGGGTTGTTGTAGGTTTTTCCGGGCTATATGGCCATGTTCTAGAGGCATTTTCTCCTGACGTTTCGCCTGCATCTATGGCAACTCTAAAATTACAACAGCAAAACAACAGAGAGTAAACAATCAGGCACATCTAATCACCTCTCAACAAAAGATTCCCCCAGGCACTGCCAAGCTATCAAATGCTAATTAAGGTGGTCAGTTGAAACATTCACACCTACCTGGGACAAAGGACATGAGTCCTTTGTCTCACCCTGGCCATTCCACAGATATATAAACCCTTTTTCCTAGTTCCAACAGACCTCACTACCTCTGAGGATGTTTGCCATAGATGCAGGCGAAACGTCAGGAGAAAATGCCTCTAGAACATGGCCATATAGCACGGAAAAACCTACAACAACCCAGTGATTCCTGCCATGAAAGCCTTCGACAATCCATTTAAATTGATGGCAAATATTCAACCTCCTTGGTTTCTTTTGCTCAGGTGCATCAAGCAGGTTCTAGTCACTCTGATATTGATAATGGTTCCCAGTATAAATAATTATGCGGGATTTCACATGGATATGCAAAACTGCAGATAATAGCAAACCCTATTGAAATGAAGGACATCAGGTCCACAAATACCATAGAATCTTGCTGGAGGACCTAGAAGATGCCAAGAGAAGCCATACTTTTCTCAGCTGTGGATAAATAAAAACACAGATATCTGTTCTGTGGATATAGAGATTATACTATGATTATTTTTTCTTGAAGCATGCATGTACACATAAAAAAGCAATACTGAATGTTTAAAACCTCAATATCTCAATTGCTGCAGCAATATAAATTAGTTGGGTTGCTGTGAGTTTTCTGGGCTATATGGCCATGTTCCAGAAGCATTCTCTCCTGACGTTTCACCCACATCTATGGCAGGCATCCTCAGAGGTTGTGAGGTCTTTTGGAAGCTAGGCAAGCGGGATTTATATATCTGTGGGAGAAAGAACTATTTTTTTGAGGCAAGTGTGAAAAACAGGGGAATTCCAGAGAGGAAACAATCGGAGCCAGGTAACACCTCCCAACAAAGGATTCCCTCAGGCAGGAAGTAGCTGTAAGGCTATTCAATGCTAATCAAGGTGGCCAATTGCAATATTAACACCTGTTTCAAACAACAGTTATTTCTCCCACCCTGGACATTATTCCACAGATATATAAACTTCACTTGCCTAGTTTCCTATAGACCTCACTACCTCTGAGGATGCATGCCATAGATGTGGGCGAAATGTCCGGATTACCTGATGTGATAATATGGATTATATGGCCGTGTTGAAGGGGCCTACAGTCTCCCATGGTCTTGAAAATGTGCTAGAGAGCCTGGGGACTTCTTGGGGAAAGATTTAAGGAGCAAGAGAGGAGGAAAAAAAATGTTGCCTCAGGAACAACAATCTGCAGTGGTCAGGGTATTAAAGTACTCTGGGAAAATGTAGAAGAAATGACCTATGGAATGATCTTCATGTGAAATTTATTAAATCCAATCATACTTAGTGGAGCCGAACTGAGCAGGCTTTTTCCTATACTAAAAAGCTATGTTGGCAGTACAGACTTGCAGAATTTTAATGTATTTCCCCTCCTTTCCCCATAAGGTTTATCAGGAGTTTGCATGGAGTAACCCTCTTCATCCAGATATCTTCCCAGGCTTGAGGAAGATGGAAGCAGAGGTGGTGAGAATGGCTTGCACGCTCTTCCATGGTGGACCCAATTCTTGTGGAACGGTACGTCACAACGCATCCTTTCTCAGTCTGGGTTACCCACTTACCTTTCTGCCAGATGTAACACATGTCTGGAATCACTGGGTTGTTGTAGGGGATTTTCGGGCTATATGGCAATGTTCTCCACCTCAGACATCAGAAGAGCTGCAAGACCAAGAACAAGCCTCGAGAGTCAAGACAAAGATCCACCCAGAGGAAAAGTGTTCCTGCCATACATCAAGGGAACCACTGACTGCATAGGGAAGCTGATGAGGAAACACAACATACAAACTATCTACAGACCCACCAAGTAAATCCAACAAATGCTACGTTCAGCAAAGGACAAGAGGGATCCTCTCACTTCTGCAGGAGTCTACCGTATACCATGCAGCTGTGGACAAGTCTACATAGGGACCATCAAACGCAGCATTGCCCAAACACGAATCAAGGAACATGAAAGGCACTGCAGACTACTTCATCCAGAGAAGTCAGCCATAGCAGAGCACCTGATGAATCAACCTGGACACAACATATTATTTGAGAACACAGAAATGCTGGATCACTCCAACAACCACCATGTCAGACTACACAGAGAAGCCATTGAAATCCACAAGCATTTGGACACTTTCAACAGAAAGGAGGAAACCATGAAAATGAACAAAAATCTGGCTACCAGTATTAAAAAACTCTAAAATTAGAACAGCACAACAACAGAGAGGAAACAAACAAGGACATCTAATCACCTCTCAACAAAAGATTGCTCCAGGCACTGCCAGGAAATCAAATGCTAATCAAGGTGGTCAGTTGAAACATTCACACCTAGCTCCAGCAGACAAAAGTCCTTTGTCCCACCCTGGTCATTCCACAGATACATAAACCCCTTTTCCTAGATCCAACAGAGCTCACTACCTCTGAGGATGCTTGCCATAGATGCAGGCGAAACGTCAGGAGAAATGCTTCTAGAACATGGCCATATAGCCCGAAAAAACCTACAACTCTGTAGCACATGTGTTTGTGCACATATTCCATTATGGAAAATTCTCTCTTTCTTATTGGTTTATTTCCAAAACAAACTGAAAACACTCTGGGTTTCCAAGTTGAGTTTGAAGGTACTCACTGACTGACACAAGATTCTTCACCTAAATACAGCCCAACAGTACATTGGAATGACTAATTACAATTGCTGGTAAGCCGGTTGTCTTGTGAAAGTCTTTAATACAACCTGTGCACTGCAGGTTATTAGGAATTTGCCAGCAAAGCACACATCTCAGTGGCTGGAATATTAATTGTTGTATCTTCTACAATGTGAATGTACCCTACATGCTCAACTCAAGGGATCTTGTACATCCCAAGTTCTTTTACGATGTGTGGACACAAACATTTGCAAACATGCATTGTTGCTGCATTACCTTCTTCCTTTCAGTACATCTTTGTTTTTATTCACACAGGATGGTTTTAGAGCACCATAAATATTGTAACGATTTTCTAATTATTGAAACTCATGATGTAATTCTAATGCTGTGGTAAAACTATAATTATACATGCAATAACAATGTAAATTTATTATAATTATATAAGCTATGATAATACTAAATGCATGCAAATACATTACAAATTAATAGCCAGCATGTTATGGAATATCCTGTGAAATCCTATTTTTCCTATGAATCTTTTAGTTTCCTCTGTGTTCTTTAAATTCAAATGTGTAAGCTTCCTGGATATAGAGTGTGCATTACAGACTTAAAACATTGTTATTATTATTTTACTGACACAAAAACACAGTATGCCACAGCGAATGAGATCTATATGCTGGATTTTATGTCACAAAATCACGAGTCGAACACTTCCCAAGCGTCTAGGACTGTGTGATGTATTTTCGAATGATGCATACAGATCCAAGTAAGGTGGCCTTTTGCAGTTCACAGATCATGATTTTGTCAATGTTTATTGTTTCCAAATGCCGTCAGATCTTTTGTCACGGCACCCAGTGTGCCAATGACTACTGGGACCACCTGTACTGGTTTATGCCAGAGCCTTTGCAGTTCGATTTTGAGGTCCTGATAACGGCTGTTTTTTCCTGTTGTTTTTCCTCAATGGCGACATCAATAATCCATTTTTTTTCCTCTTCCACAATTGTAATGTCTGGTGTATTGTGTTCCAAAACTTTGTCAGTCTGGATTCGAAAGTCCCACGGTATTTTTGCATGTTCATTTTCCTCCTCCTCCTCTTCTTCTTTATATAATAATAATATATTGTTATATAATTGTAGACTCATATAATGCAGTTTCTAACTGCATAATATGGCAGTCTAAATGGGGCCTTTGAGTCAGCCCTTTTGTCCTCTGTGCTTCCAAACCAAAGACTCCTACTATTTACAATCCCAAAGGCATTTTTGCTGCTATTGTCAGGGCAGTGTTTTTGCCCTCGGTAAATTAAAAAAATGGGGAAACATGTGAGGACAGCAGGCAGAATACAATGCCATCTAAATCATGTATGAACTTCTATGGAAGAGGCAGTATGACTGTAAGATAAAAGTCTAATTTGGAATTACTCCATGACATGTTGACATGCCCAATACAATGCTAGTGGCTTAGAGCCAGAAACCTTATTACCTGCTTAGAAAGGCAGAGAACTCCCATGTAGTAACATTAGGAAGTGTTGTAACAAGGTGAGATGAACAGAATAGTGTGTTGGTCAGCAGTCAGAGCTGATGTTGCTGCAAGGCATTCCCAATACCTTTAATTAATTTCTCCTATACCAACCGTTGCTGCAAGTGCATGTTGTCTTGCAGTCTGAACAAGTGGATCTGCCATTAGATGGGAAAACATTGAATAAAGGCTGATACAGGGTGCAGCAGCATAACTTCCTTTTTTAAAATGCGTGCCATTCAGTCGGTTGAAGACGTAGCGGAGCGCTAGTGGTCTCGTTCGAGAGGTGGGAGTATAAAGTTTTGTCCTGACACAGTTCAGTCACCATCATGCATTGGAACAATGAAGAGCGTGCTTTTGCCGTTGAGGCCTACTTTTCGAGCGGATGTTCTGTGATTGCAACACAGTGCGCCTTTCAGAATCACTTTAATTTAACCCCATTGGCCCCTGTCCGAGACCGGAAATCAATTGTTTGTCACAAACTGCAAGTGTGACAAGACGAAGAACTGGCGTCCCTTGGCCCAGTAGATCACCTGAGAACATTGAGGCAGTGAGAGCTTCAATGTTGCGATCACCACAGCGTTCTGTGCGCAAACATGCGTCTGCCCTTGGACTTTCTGATCATTCTGTGAGGAGAATTGTTCATGATGATCTTCATTTCCATCCTTACAAGATGGCGATTCTGCAGAAACTTTCTGAATGTGACTTCAATTCTCGGAGGAATGCGTGTGAGGTTCTTCTCAAAGTCATTCCTGAGGACACTATTGTTTTTTTAAGTGATGAAGCCCATTTTCATTTGTGTGGATCCGTCAACAAACAAAACATGCGCTACTGGGCTGACAACAATCCTCAAGAATTGCACCAAAGGCCTTTGCATTCACCTAAAATCACAGTGTGGTGTGCAATTTTCTCAGCTGGAATTATTGGTCCCTGGTTCTTTGAGGAAAATGAAGTCACAGTAACAGTGAATTCGGACCAGTATGTAAACATGTTACAGGATTTTTTTTTCCCACGGCTAGATGGGTTGGACTTACGGGACATTTGATTCCAATATGATGGTGCAACTGCACACACTTCAAGAGCATTGATGGCTGTTATGCGGGAACACTTCCCAGAGCGCCTCATCTCAATTAGGGGGGATTTGGAGTGGCCGGCCCGCTCTCCAGATTTGGCCCCTTGTGATTTTTTTCTATGGGTTTTTTTGAAATCCCGTGTTTATGTGAACCGTCCAAGGACCCTACAAGATTTGAAGACCAACATCCATGAAGAAAATGCCAACATAACGCCTGCTCTGCTGGCAAGAGTCACGACAAACGGCAGAAATCAGTTTACTCAGTGTATGGGGAATGGAGAATGGGGGACATCACCTACCTAATTTGATCTTCAAAATTACGTAAAACAAAACTTTAGGTATGTGTCTACATTACATATTTTTTTCTGATTCGTACAATGGGTTTTATTAAGTGTTGAAAAAAGGAAGTTATGCTGCTGCACCCTGTAGTTTAAAGGAGTTGGGATACAGGTAGAATTTTAATAAAGTTTTTCTAAGCAGAAAATGTTCCAGGTTGTCTTTTGAGGTTGTTGCGTGATTTTAGAGGTCTGCTCCAATTATAATATTTGGAAGCATCAAGAAAGGGGGGGGGGGGGGCGGGACTATGTTTTCCTCCAGAATGCACATAGTTAACATTTACATAGCATTCCTCCACCTATGTTTGGAGCGCTTCACTTTTCTTAATATACACCCTTTTGGTAATTTTGGTTACAACCTCACAACTTCTGGGGATGCCTGCCATAGATGCAGGAGAAACGTCAGGAGATAATGCTTCTAGAACATGACCATACAGCCTGAAAAACCTACAACAACCCAATTTTAGTTATCACTTTCATACAGGCCTGTAGCTTGGGGGGGGGAGGGTTAGGGGTTCAACCCCCCCCCCCCCAAATTTTTCAGGTTAAAAAAAACCTGGTTTACTCATGAATTTTAACTGGTTAACCAAATCCCCATGCTAAGTCTATGAGACGCAAAAAATTAAGAGTCCCTCCAGAACTGTAAGCACTATCTCAAGCAAATATTGACAATTTATTCACACTGTCATTACTTGCAGCAATAGCCGATGTAGTGAAGCAACCAAGTTGGGTGTGTGGGTGTTGAATGCTCTCATTAAGGAGGCCAGACTTGGTGGAGGTGGTTGACAGGGGTGGAGCTGCAGGCTATTGAAGGCTGCCCTTTGCTTCAGTGTGAGCTAGGAGGCAGGTTTCACCCCCCCCCCCCCAGAAATTTTCAAACCCCCACCCCCAAATTTTCAACCCCCCTCCCCCAATTTTTTTTTGCTATGGCCCTGCTTTCATACTGTAAATGGCACAGGCATGATCCTGAGAAACAGTCGTGTGCTGGGAACTCGGCAGCTCATTCTCTTAACTCCATGTTGCACTAACTCTTAGGATGAAAACTTGTTTAACACAAACCTACTGAAGTGAAGCTTTGCAAAGAACCACAATATCATTGTATCTTAAACGGTTCTTGTTCTGCCCCCGTGATTTATTGAGGTATTCAGCAGGGCTGCGTCATTGTATTTGACATTTGGCTGTAAATAATGGCTGTCTGAATCCGCCTCTGCTTGAAAGGACAGAGAAGAAAATGCTTGGGCGTACTTAGCAGTTCTTTTAAAAAGACAAATGTCATAGAATTGGATGCTGCCATCCCTATTGTTGACTCCTTCGCTTGCTGTAAACTTTTTGCAACTAAAATATGTATTGCTGGAAATTTTAATGAGTTTTATTTTAGCTAAGGGAACACTGCTGATACATAGATACTAAGCCTTCCTTTCCCCTTTCCCAAAAGGCTTGATCCATTTTTCACATTGTCTCCCTTTTCTATGAATTTGATATTCGATATTTTCCTTACCTTTGCTTCAAAAAATAATTCCCCTCATGTGCTTATAGTAAGAATAAATAATAAAACTTTATTTATACCCCGCCACCATCTCACAAAGGGGACTCAGGGCAGATTACATGAGGCCAAGCACGACCATGCATGCAACAATAAATCAACACAGCAATAAACAAGGAAAATAAGAAATAAAAAATACAATACAAAGCCATTATAAATAACATATCAGCAAAAAAAATATTTAAAAACACGAGGATCCAACACTGAGGGCAGGGCCAAATCTAATAGATTAAAAATTTAAAACACTGGGTGTGAGCAGCAGTAAAATGAATCTGAACAGGGGTTTTTAGAGGGTAAGGTAAGGTTGATTGACCCAACAGGTAGGATAAAGTACTTCAGATGACATTTGCAGAACATTGGTCAGAACAGGGAGTTATTGGGTTGTTGTAGGTTTTTCCGGGCTATATGGCCATGTTCTGGAGGCAATTTTTCTCCTGACATTTCGCCTGCATCTATGACAAGCATCCTCAGAGGTAGTGAGGTCTGTTGGAAGTAGGAAAAATGGGTTTATATATCTGTGGAATGACCAGGGTGGGACAAAGGACTTTTGTCTGCTGGGGTTAGCTGTGAATGTTTCAGCTGATCACCTTGATTAGCATTCAATGGCTTGGAAGGGCCTGGGGGGGGGGGGAATCTTTTGGTGAGAGTGATTTTATGTGCCTGTTTGTTTCCCCTCTGTTGTTTTGCTATTGTAATTTTTGAGTTTTTTTAATACTGGTAGCCAGATTTTGTTCATTTTCATGGTTTCTTCCTTTCTGTTGAAATTGTCCACATGCTTGTGGATTTCAGTGGCTTCTCTGTGTAGTCTGACATGGTGGTTGTGAGAGTGGTCCAGCACTTCTGTGGGAGTTATTATTAATTCAGGGAAGGCACATTGGAACAACCAAGTTTTCAAGCTTCTCCTAAAGACTGCCAATGTGGGGGTTTGCCTAATATCCTTGGGGAGCGAGTTCCAGAGTTGAGGGGCCACCATAGAAAAGGTCCTCTCCCTCGTCCCCACCAGTCGCACCTGCGAAGGGGGCGGGAGCGAGAGCAGGGCCTCTCTGAAAGATCGAAGGGATTGCGTGGCCTCGTAGATAGAAATGCGGTCATGCAGGTAGGCAGGTCCCAAACTGGTCAGGGCTTTGTAGGTAAGAACCTGCACTTTGAATTGGGACCGGAAAATGAATGGCAGTGGAGCTCCTTAAACGGGGGTAGACCGCTCCCTATAATTCGGTCCATTTCGTAATCTGGCCGTCACCCATTGGACCAATTGAAATTTCCGGGCCGTCTTCCCTAGGTCCTCCAGCATAATTCTATGGCATACTTTGAGCCAAAGTATAGCCAAAATGTAGGGTTTGCTATTATCCACAGTTTCAGATGTCCATGGATATGTGTGACTAGAAACATATTGGCCACACCATATTTTGCATCGGTGAATTTCCAGATTGTATACAAGAGTACAACATATACATGTATGCATGAGTACAACGCATACAAAGCGTAATAACCATGACTAAGTCATGAAAACAAATGCAAAGTCTCAGAGTTATAATTCACATCCTCCACTACCTGCATGTGGCACATTCTTCTTGTCATTTCCTCTTTGCTTGCTCCAGGAATGTTTGTGAAGGTCACATAGTTTCTCCTTGCAGCATATTTACATAAATACTCCTGAACACTTGTCACCCCATGGGAGGTGCATCATTTAAACATGCATTGATTTCATAAAGGAAATAAACCACTCCTTCTCCTTCCCCACTCCAGCTAGCTGACAGAACTCAGACCTGCGTCTCTTCCATTGTCTTTCTCTTTCTCTGATATTTTGGTTGATCTATTAATAAATCCCACAGTAGATTTTGTTTTTATCGAGACAATGATTGTTTTTACCAAATCAGAAGTTCAAAGGAAGCAAGCCGTCTTGCAATCATGAGGCGTTCCTCCTTGTAAAAAGGGTTTTTGGTTTCATAACAGTGTTTGGTAGCAATATCTTTTGTAAAACTTTGAATTATTAATACAAAGTTTGGATAAGATTTAGCACTGAGAAATTACACTAATCAACCATGTAGGAGTTCCTTTTAATCAGTGGTTCTCAACCTGTGGGTCCCCAGATGTTTTAGCTTTCAACTCCCAGAAATCCTAACAGCTGGTAAACTGGCAGGGATTTCTGGGAATTGTAGGCCAAAACACCTGGGGACCCACAGGTTGAGAACCACTATTTTAACTGAACCGAAATAGCCATTGTTGAAAATCAGCAGTGTTTTTGGTGGTCGATCTAAATACATTTATAGTTTGTAGTCAAATGACCAAGTGGTTACTAATGTGCCCCACGGACTGGGAATTGCACAATGGCTGCCTGTTATTTGCTTATCTTGCTCCTTGTTTTGATCTTGTTATTTGAATGGAGCAGAAATAGCACTTCTAAAAAGTTGTCAGCTCCTGTTGAGTCATTACTGTCTGCCAGCTGCATGATATATTGCAAAAGCTGGAGGAATTCCCCTGTGACTGTGATTCATGTAATACCAAGAAAATAATAGTTGACATTAGAAAACAAGAAGCCAATATATCCGGGCCATGGTTTGGACTTTGATTACCAAACTCCTGAGGCAACATTGTCCATATCATGGCTCCCAGAATCCACAGTTACCATGGCCCATAGGGGCAATACACTGTAGCTGCACCCTGGTTGTACAATCCATAGTGATTCCCATTTTCTGAAAAGGGGTTTATGGAAACAAGGCAAGAAAATTTCACTTGATGATGTAATACTGTAGTCTTATCTGTACAGAACAATTCCAAATGTGTTGATTTTAATTCCTTATTGACAGATGACCTCTGGTGGGACAGAAAGCATATTGATGGCCTGTAAAGCTTACAGAAACATGGCGTATGAAAAAGGAATCAAGTACCCAGAAATGTATGTATTTCTGTTTGTGCACTCTTTCTTTCTCTAGTTGGGTTCAAATATCATATTATCGTTTATCATGCCAGGGATGAACATATGATATATGCCTTTTCCCCTCCTCTTCTGATATGACAATGATGAAGTCTTCAGAAAATTATAACTTTGCTTTTAACAACAACAACAACAATCCTTGATTTGTATTCTGTTCTATCTCCCTGAGGGGACTCTGGGCGGATTCTAGCATCTACAGACACAAGGCAAACATTCAATGCCTAGAAGTACTGGAAGTATTTCAAATGGCTTGTTGGTCCATTGGACTCGAGAAACCAGTTTTCAAATACTTTATTAATCTATATGTATAAAAATACTATGTGCATAATGAGTACCTTAAAAACAAAAGAACCAAATAACGAAATCACACCAAATTTGGCAACAAAACATCTCACAACACAAGGAGTGACCATCACTCAAAAATTTATGATTTTGTCATTTGGGAATTGTAGTTGCTTGGATTTATAGTTCACCTACAATCAAAGAGCATTCTGAACTCCATCAATGATGGGATTGAACAAAACTTGGCACACAGAACTCC